CTAAGGGTCTGTAATTTTAATTTATATTTATGCTTACCCAGTATCCCACAATGAATAGAATCTGCCACTCCATGGTGCAATGTAACCTGAAAATACACATGATAGCTATTTAACATAGCCACCAACCATATATACCTATTACTCTCAAACCTTCAAAATAAACTGTTCTCTCAATCTGCCTTAAAAAAGTCTTATCTCCAACCCTACTTTTAAAATAATTCCCTCAGTCCACCTCTAATGTAAATTGTTCCTTCTTCATGTACCAATATTTATTTTTACTGACTGTGAACCATTTTTTGCTGCACAACTGATCACAGAACTTTCTGAAAATGAAAGATAGAGCTTTTGTTGCTGACAGATACTTTAATAGTCATAATCGGGAATTAGATTTTTTTTTTGAGATTGGAATCTAAGGAGGACATTACAGGGTCTGCAGCAGGAAAGAGCAGAAATGAGAACAAATGAAAAAAGACAAATAGCAAAAAAGGTGGTGGACAGGGCTTTGGGAGTATACAGTGGATATAAAAAGTTTAAAATGTGTTATGGACTGATGAGACCAAGGTTGAATATCAAGCACCCAGGAAATCAGATTCAGGCAGTACAAATGAATATAAAGATTTATTGCAAGCTTAAGTTCTCTACAAGAATCTGGGCAAGTGAACATTAAAGGAAATGCATGGGAGTTAAGAATAGAAAGGAATTCAAGGTGGGCTGGACTTAGATCTCTTGTGGGCTCGAAGGGACTAGTGACTTATGACTTTTGACCCCTCCCTTGGGTTCAGCCTGGTCATCTCCCACAGTACATTAACTTTTGCCTTCCAGTTCTTTAAAACATTTTAACATTCTATTTTTCTTCAATAAAATATTGTATGTTTCTTATGCATAGGGTGACCAGACGTCCCGCATTTGGTGGGACAGGCACGCCTTTTCATAAATTTTCCCGCGTCCCGCACGGTTCTTAAAAAAACACGCTTTTTTTGGCGCTCGCAGCTCCCTCGCTCCCCCGCCCATCAGCTGCTAGCTCGCTGGGCTGGCTCATCATTCCATTCTATCCTACAAATNCCGCTCACACTGAAAAAAAATTAGAGGGAACATTGACTCACACTGGGAGAGGAGCCAGGAAGGCAAGCCAGCTGTGATCGGTTCAGAAGCCATCCAGGCTCAAAGAGTACTTGCTGGAGCCGGGCGCAAAAAGTACTTGCTGGAGCTGGCCAGGGAGCAACCGGGAACACGAGGGCAGGGCGTGCTGAGTCTGTATAGCCACCTGACTAGCAGAAGCCAGTACTGCTGGCTAGAAACCCTTTTGCTTGTATTGTTCACCACGGTCCAAGCTGAGACTCCAGTAAAGAGACTTGTTCTGCTCACAGTGTGGCTTCTTCTTTTGCTGAATTGGTTTGGAATCGTGACAGGGAATTCTTTTAATATAAATTATGAGTTTATAAAGATTAATGAGTAAATAGAACTATATACTATTCCCCACACCAAGGAGAAACAAAGTGTCAGGCTTCTAACCGATGCCCTAACTAAATCATGAGCCTCAAGCCAAACTTCAAAAGAAATCCAGTTATTTATTAGGAGCTTCATGTCAGCACGGACCAAGTGAAGCCAACTCTGACCTCACTTAATTCACGCCACGGCTCTGACCCTGTTTCCCCCTCCCCCCAAGGTGTGTCATCAGTCACATTCTCTAACGAATCAATTTTGCGGGTTGTAGAGGTCCCTCCCTCTGGCCACTGTGGGTCTGTGCGGATGTGACCTTGACATGGCTGGCTGGAATATGCTTTGTTTTAACTGAAGTGCAAGTTCCTCAATGGAGCTGCAATGTTCGATTCCCCATCACCCTGCCTATGGCAACTGACAGGAATGCTTCGCGAGTTGACACAGAGATGGTTAAATAGACTCTTTTATTCAAAGAAAAGAATATATTTAATTTTGTTTCTATTTGGAAATTGCTTCCAAATTTTGTGCTTGCAATAGAAAAAAAATGAAACTTTATTTTTGTTTTTGCTGATTAGATAGGTTTGTTGCTATAGAAATGGCTAGAAATGGCTCCCTCCCCCCAGTTTTTTATTACTTTTAAAAATTTCTCTTTGTATTTTATATTTTGATAAACTAATAAAAATGTATTGTAAAAAAAAGAATGCTAGCAATTCAGTTTAGTTTAATTTTCAAAAGTTAGTTCTTCTTACCAAAGACTCTTTCATCATTGATATTTTTGATGCAGAACCACAGGCCTGCTGGGAAAGTACAGACGAGAATATGTAGATCAAAAAAGAA